GGTCACTCTCCCTGAGCCGTGAGCTTTATCATACCTCTGCTTAAAGCTATGTATGGATCCTGCCTCCACTACATCGCTTCCCAAACTATTCCACTTACTGACTACTCTGTGGCTGAAGAAATACTTCCTAACATCCCTGTGATTTATCTGTGTCTTCAGCTTCCAACTGTGTCCCCTTGTTACTGTGTCCAATCTCTGGAACATCCTGTCTTTGTCCACCTTGTCAATTCCTCTCAGTATTTTGTATGTCGTTATCATGTCCCCCCTATCTCTCCTGTCCTCCAGTGTCATCAGGTTGATTTCCCTTAACCTCTCCTCGTAGGACATACCTCTTAGCTCTGGGACTAGTCTTGTTGCAAACCTTTGCACTTTCTCTAGTTTCTTTACGTGCTTGGCTAGGTGTGGGTTCCAAATGGTGCCGCATACTCCAATGTGGGCCTAACGTACACGGTGTACAGGGTCCTGAATGATTCCTTATTAAGATGTCGGAATGCTGTTCTGCGGTTTGCTAGGCGCCCATATGCTGCAGCAGTTATTTGGTTGATGTGCGCTTCAGGAGATGTGCCTGGTGTTATACTCACCCCAAGATCTTTTTCCTTGAGTGAGGTTTGTAGTCTCTGGCCCCCTAGACTGTACTCCGTCTGCGGTCTTCTTTGCCCTTCCCCAATCTTCATGACTTTGCACTTGGTGGGATTGAACTCCAGGAGCCAATTGCTGGACCAGGTCTGCAGCCTGTCCAGATCCCTTTGTAGTTCTGCCTGGTCTTCGATCGAGTGAATTCTTCTCATCAACTTCACGTCATCTGCAAACAGGGACACCTCAGAGTCTATTCCTTCCGTCATGTCGCTGGTCACAGGTGCCCACTCTGACACCTCGCCACGTACCATGACTCGCTGCTGTCTTCCTGACAAGTATTCCCTGATCCATTATAGTGCCTTCCCTGTTATCCCTGCTTGGTCCTCCAGTTTTTGCACCAATCTCTTGTGTGGAACTGTGTCAAATGCCTTCTTGCAGTCCAAGAAAATGCAATCCACCCACCCCTCTCTCTCTTGTCTTACTGCTGTCACCATGTCATAGAACTCCAGTAGGTTTGTGACACAGGATTTCCCGTCCCTGAAACCATGTTGGCTGCTGTTGATGAGATCGTTCCTTTCTAGGTGTTCCACCACTCTTCTCCTGATAATCTTCTCCATGATTTTGCATACTATACATGTCAGTGACACTGGTCTGTAGTTTAATGCTTCATGTCTGTCTCCTTTTTTAAAGATTGGGACTACATTTGCTGTCTTCCATGCCTCAGGCAATCTCCCTGTTTCGATAGATGTATTGAATTTTGTTGTTAGGGGTACACATAGCACCTCTGCTCCCTCTCTCAATACCCATGGGGAGATGTTATCTGGCCCCATTGCCTTTGAGGTATCTAGCTCACTCAGAAGCCTCTTCACTTCTTCCTCGGTTGTGTGCACTGTGTCCAGCACATGTTGGTGTGCCCCACCTCTCCGTCTTTCTGGAGCCCCTTCTGTCTCCTCTGTGAACACTTCTTTGAATCTCTTGTTGAGTTCCTCACATACTTCACGGTCATTCCTTGTTGTCTCTTTCCTCCTTCCTTCCTTAGCCTGATTACCTGGTCCTTGACTGTTGTTTTCCTCCTGATGTGGCTGTACAACAGTTTCGGGTCAGATTTGGCTTTCGCTGCTATGTCATTTTCATATTGTCTTTGGGCCTCCCTTCTTATCTGTGCATATTCGTTTCTGGCTCTACGACTGCTCTCCTTATTCTCCTGGGTCCTTTGCCTTCTATATTTCTTCCATTCCCTAGCACACTTGGTTTTTGCCTCCCTGCACCTTTGGGTAAACCATGGGCTCATCCTGGCTTTTTCATTATTCCTGTTACCCTTGGGTACAAACCTCTCCTCAGCCTCCTTGCATTTTGTTGCTACATATTCCATCTCATTAACTGGCTTCCCTGCCAGTTCTCTGTCCCACTGAACCCCGTTCAGGAAGTTCCTCATTCCTGTGTAGTCCCCTTTCTTGTAGTTTGGCTTCATTCGTCCTGGCCTTCCTGCTTCTCCCTCCACTTGTAGCTCTACTGTGTATTCGAAGCTTAAAACCACATGGTCACTAGCCCCAAGGGGTCTTTCATATGTGATGTCCTCGATATCTGCACTACTCAAGGTGAATACTAAGTCCAGCCTTGCTGGTTCATCCTCTCCTCTCTCTCTTGTAGTGTCCCTTACGTGTTGGCACATGAAGTTTTCCAGTACCACCTCCATCATCTTAGCCCTCCATGTATCTTGGCCTCCATGTGGGTCCAAGTTCTCCCAATCGATCTCCTTGTGGTTAAAGTCACCCATGATCAGGAGCTTTGCCCTGCATGCATGAGCTCTTCTGGCCACTCTAGCCAGTGTGTCAACCATCGCATGTGTGTGCATGTGTGTGTGTGTGTGTGTGTGTGTGAGTGTGAGTGTGTACTCACCTAGTTGTGGTTGCAGGGGTCGAGTCACAGCTCTTGGTCCAGCCTCTTCAACTGGCCACTACTCGGTTACTCTTCCCGCTTCGTGAACTTTATCATACCTCTTCTTAAAGCTATGTATGAATCCTGCCTCCTACATCACTTACTAGGCTATTCCACTTCTTGACAACTCTGTGACTGAAGAAATACTTCCTAACATCCCTGTGATTCATCTGAGTCTTTAACTTCCAACTGTGACCCCTTGTTGCTGTGTCCCATCTCTGGAACATCCTATTTCTGTCCACCTTGTCTATACCTCTCAGTATTTTATGTCTTTATCATATCCTCCCATCTCTCCTGTCTTCTAGTGTCGTCAGGTCGATTTCCCTTAACCTCTCCTCGTAGGACATACCCCTTAGCTCCGGGGCTAGTCTTGTTGCAAACCTTTGCACTTTCTCTAGTTTCCTTACATGCTTGGCTAGGTGTGGGTTCCAAACTGGCACTGCATATTCCAATATGGGCGTAACGTACACAATGTACAGGGTCCAGAATGAGTCCCTATTTAGATGTCAGAATCCTGTTCTTACGTTTGCCAGGCACCCATATGCTGCAGCAGTTATTTGGTTGATGTGCGCCTCAGGTGATGTGCCCGGTGTTATACACGCACCAAGATCCTTTTCCTTGAGTGAGGTTTGTAGGCTCTGGCCCCCTAGACTGTACTCTGTCTGTGGTCTTCTTTGCCCTTCCCCAATCTTCATGACTTTGCACTTGGTGGGGTTGAACTCCAGGAGCCAGTTGCTGGACCAGGCCTGGAGTCTGTCCAGATCCCTCTGTAGTTCTGCCTGGTCCTCATCCAATTTAATTCTTCTCATCAACTCCACATCATTTGCGAACAGGGACACTTCGGATTCTATTCCTTCTGTTGTGTCGTTCACAAATACCAGAAACAGCACCGGTCCTAGGACTGATCCCTGTGGCACCCTGATCATTACAGGCACCCACTCTGACACCTCACCACGTACCATGACTTGCTGTTGTCTTCCTGATAGGTATTCCCTGATCCATTGTAGTGCCTTCCCAGTTATCCCTGCCTGGTCCTCCAGCTTCCGCACTAATCTCTTGCATGGAACTGTGTCAAACGCCTTCTAGCAGTCCAAGAATATGCAATCTACCCACCTGGTGGCCTGGTGGTTAACGCTCTCGCTTCACACGGTGAGGGCCTGGGTTCGATTCCCAGCCAGAGTAGAAACATTGGACGTGTTTCTTTCCACCTGTTGTCTATGTTCCCCATCAGTAAAATGGGTACCTGGGTGTTAGTCAACTGGTGTGGGTCGCATCCTGGGACACTGACCTAAGGAGGCCTGGTCACAGACCGGGCCATGGGGGCGTTGACCCCCAGAACTCTCTCCAGGTAAACTCCAGGTAAACCCCCTCTCTCTTGTCTTACAGCCGTCACCCTGTTATAGAACTCCAGTAGGTTTGTGACACAGGATTTCCTGTCCCTGAAACCGTGCTGGCCGTCACTGATAAGCTCATTCCTTTCTAGGTGCTCCACCACTCTTCTGATAATTTTCTCCATGACCTTGCATACCATACATGTCAGTGAGACTGGTGTGTAGTTTAATGCTTCGTGTTTGTCTCCTTTTTTTAAAAATTGGAACTACATTTGCTGTCTTTCATACCTCCAGTAGTCGTCCTGTTTCAATAGTTGTGTTGAAGATAGTTGTTAGTGGTACACAAAGCGCCTCTGCTGCCTCTCTCAGGACCCATGGAAAGGTGTTATTCGGCCCTATCACCTTTGAGGTATATAGCTCGCTTAACAGCTTAACTTCTTCCTCATTTGTATGTATTGTGTCCAACACTTGATGGTGTACCCCACCTCTCTGCCTTTCTGGAGGCCCTTCTGTCTCCTCTGTGAACACTTCTTTGAATCTCATGTTGAGATGTGTGTGTATGTGGGGGGGGGGGGGTGACCATGACAAAACAGTTTATATATAAACATTATTACAAGTTCCTACAGAGGATATGTAAATGTTTAACATGTTGACTGCTGTTGCAGAAAAAACTGATACACGTCCATGATGACTAAAGTATATCCGTGACTGTACCTGACAATTACGGGAAAAGCTTATTTTTCTAGTGAAAGTATCATCTTCCCTTCCCAACTCATGACATGGGTTGATTTATGGCTGGTAATGTAAGGCAGCAAGCTGTCTTACCAGAATTTTATACACATCAAATTACAAATACTCCAATAAACCACCACTTATTTTCTATAATAAAGTAAAATGAGCACAATATCTCCATTAATAGAGTATATGCAGTTTGGAAGGATATGTTGTGTATCTTTATAGGTATATGCTTCTAAGCTGTTGTGTTCTGAGCACCTCTGCAAAAACAGTGATTATGTGTGAGTGAGGTGAAAGTGTTGAATGATGATGAAAGTATTTTCTTTTTGGGGATTTTCTTTCTTTTTCTGGGTCACCCTGCCTTGGTAGGAGATGGCCGACTTGTTAAAAAAAAAAAAAAAAAATATGCTCATTACGTACCTCCATCTCCTCATCATCCTGGAAAACTGACAGCTGTTGTGCTCTCTTCTCCAGTTCACTCTGGTACTTGATAGGGTTGGCTAGAGCTTCAGCAAAATCGCTCAGGCCATGTGGTACATAATCACCAACCTGAAATATTTTTAAACTTGAGTTACTATATGTCACTACAGATACTGAAGCAGATTAACAAGTTACAGAAAATAAAACAAAAGCCTAACTAAAATTTGTTACTCACCACAAAGATAATGTAGTACTTGTTTCACCAAAATTATTTCAAGAGCATTTTCAAAACCATTAAGAATATTTTGATACTGAATCTAGGATTTTTTAATTGATAGTTTATTAGTATTGCCAAATGATAATATAGAATATATTAGTGTGCCCAATTAACTGTCTCTGATCTGTCAAGCACTGTGTACAGTAAACACACACACACACACACCACACGCATGCTTGCATGCGAGTGCGAGCATGTGTACACGAGTGTGAATAAATGAGTAAGTAATGTACAGTATTGAGGTATGCAAATCCATTCTTTTTGAGATTTTGGTTAGAGCTGTGGGCACCTTAATTCTTTATCAGGCAGAATAGCTACTATTTATAGCAATTCTTGTCCCTTACATTTTTAATGTTTGAGGCTTTCTTAAGAAACAATCTAAAAATCAGATGGAAAGAAATATAAAATGAAATGTGGCAAAATCACTATCCTAGACATACCTTAACATGTACAAAGAGTGATGTGATTCCCAGTGGTTGTCCTGCTTCATTACGTAGTGCTATGTGTTTGTATCCAGGTCTAAGGCCCACTATAGGAAGGACACGATTACCCAAACAGGCCCTACCACCTTCTTCATAGGCTACAATTCTTATGCTTGCTAGCTCAGGTAATACCACCTGGGAAATTATAATTTGTTAGTACTACATTAATAGAGTTTTCTAAACAATACTTTAAGTATACATGTACGTACATAATGTTTCTTAAAGGTTTTCTTCTTGTTTTTAGTAATATATACAGGAGAAGGGGTTACTAGCTTACTGCTCCCAACATTTTAGTCGGCTTTTACAACAAGCATAGCTTACAGAGGAAAAACACTTATTCCACTTCCGAGATAAGAGGAAATAATAAGAACAAGAATTAAGAAAAAAAAATAGAAGAAAACTCAACCAAGATTTAACTGTTATCTTGTGTGTGTATGAAACAGAAAAGAGACACCAACACTCCTACCATTGCATAAAACAATTACAGGTTTCAGTCTTGCATTCATTTGGCAAGACAATAGTTCATCCCTGGGTGGTTGCTGTCTACCTGCCTCAATGGGAGATGGCCAGCGTGATGAAAAAGAAAAAAATATAATGTTTCCTTTTTTGGGTCACTCTGACTTGGTGGGAGATGGTAGTTGAAGTATAACAAAAATGGATGCTGGAACTTTCATGTTAACATGCAAAACACTTTTGTATAATTTGTATTATCCCTTTAAAGGAAGGAGTTGGTGATGATATGCTATTAATTCAAGGTAATGTAATTATTCTTTTTTTCCTCAGCTCAAAACATGATTACTTCCCATTCCTTAGAAACTGTACGATCCCTATGATCTACCATTTCATGGTTATAATAATTTGCATTATCCATATCTCCAAACACACACAGGATAAGATTACATTTTCAATTTTTAATGAGACTTTTGAGAGTCTCGTATGAAAGAAAGACTTAATTTAAAAACTGCAAACCATAGGAATAAAAGACAAACTATTACAGTAGATGAGAGTTTGAAGGGAAAATGCAGTACACAAATGACTTTCACGTAGGAGAATGAAACTTATGACGATGTTTCAGTCCAACTTGGACCATTAACCCATTCAGGGTCCAAACCCCCGATCTGAAACTTGTCCACAGAATATAAACAGCTGACACAGCAAATTTTGTGATTCTGCCCGCTTTGACAAAATTCTTAGCTATTTTGCTAGTATGGCTTCTATTTTATCAATTGAGCACAATCAATTATTTCAACTACTCAATAAAGTGATCAGAAATTGGTAATTTGGCCAATTTGACACAAATTTCAAAATATTCCTATTTCAAAATAGGGTCCAGAATAAACCATGCAGGCATTCCTGGCACTAAAATGACATTTCCTTTGTTCATTAGCTATGTTCCCAGGTTTACATATGAATTCCATTTTGATTTTTTTATTCCTGCAAAAAATAGATTTATTCTTATGCAATATTGTAATAATTGTATAAATAATGTCAGCACATCTGTGAATGCATATCAGACCCACCAGTTAATGTGTATTGGACACGTGATGTAATTTGTTTACTCTTGAACACTGCCAAAAATTTAATATTTCTGCTACTCTGAGCTCAATTTCAAGCTATTTTGAGTCCTCAAAACCATCAAAAGAATCTTTATTTTCGTAACATATTTTCCAATCTATCAAATGAGACCAAGAACCCAAGAATACGGCCATAAAAACCACACAAAAATATACAGCAAAGTTGCTGCCTTAAATCAAAAACACAGTCACAGTTTTTTTTTCCTCATTATGCACTCAGATACTGCAAGATTTATTTTATATGGTGCACACTTATTGCAGCCACCCTTTCTATCATATTTAGTCCCAAATTCACCACTCACAGCTTATCTGAGTAAGCCAAGCTCATTATGTAGTATTACGGGACTGACCCTAAAAGGGTTAACTAGTCATACCAAGTCGAACCGAAAAGTTGTCATAAATTTCATTCTCCTTTGTGTGGGTTATTTGTGTACTGTTGCAGTCATAGTATTGTGCCTTTTCATCCTTTGAAAATGCAGTGATAGTAAAATAGCTTCATGCATGCATAATATTGGGATGTCATAGGGAATTGTGTTTGCTGTGATAATGTTTCTAATTTATATCAGTGACCAGCCTAAAGGATCAAAAAATATAGGAACATGCTTGGGAATAATGCAAAATAAATAAAAAAAAAGATTATATATATGATGGTAGGATTGCTGGTGTCTTTTTTCCATTTCATAAACATGCAAGATTTCAGGTACATCTTGCTACTTCGACATACACTTGGGTCACACTACACATACATGTACACGTTTATTGTATATACACTCATCTGAGTTTTCTTTGATTTTATCTTAATAGTTCTTGTTCTTATTGCTTTTTCTTTCAAATCTATGGGGAAGTGGAATAAGAATCTTTCCTCTGTAAGCCATGCGTGTTGTAAAAGTCAATAAAAATGCCGGGAACAATGGGCTAGTAACCCCTTTTCCTGTATAGCCTACTAAAAAAAAAAAAAAAATCAAAGTGGGATGTTTGAATATGCATGGATGTTGTGCAAATGATAAGAAAGAGATGATTTTGGATGTTATGAATGAGAAGCTGGATGTCCTGGCTTTAAGTGAAACAAAGCTGAAGGGGGTGGGAGAGTTCCAGTGGAGAGAAATAAATAGGATTAGGTCAGGGGTTTCAAATAGAGCTAAAGAAAGAGTAGCAGTAATGTTGAAGGATAAGTTATAGCAGTTAAAAGAGGAAATATAAATGTATAAATTCAAGGATTCTGTGGTGTAAAATAAGGAATGGATGTGAAAAGTGGGTCATACACCTGGAGAAGAGTGAGTGAGTGGAGAGTTTTGAACCAAGTGAGAGAGTACTTGTGGTTGGGGATCTCAATGCTAAAGTGGGTAAAATTGTTGTGGAGGAAGTAGTAGGTAAATTTGGGGTGCCAGTGGTAAATGAAAATGGGGAGCCTTTAATTGAGCTATGTGTAGAAAAAGGTTTGGTAATATGTATTACATATTTTATGAAAAAGAGGGTAAATAAGTATACAAGGTATGACATAGCATGTAATGAAAGATTATGTATTAGTGGATAAAAGGCTGATGGGTAGGCTTCAGGATGCACATGTTTATAGAGGGGCAACTGATATATCAGATCACTATTTAGTTGTAGCTACAGTCAGAGTAAGTGGTAGATGGGACAAAGGGAAAATGGCAACAGCAAGTAAGAGAGAGGTGAAGGTGTATAAATTAAGGGAGGAGGAACTTAAGGTGAGATATAAACAACTATTGGCAGAAAGGTGGGCTAGTGCAAGTATGAGTAGTGGGGGGGTTGAAGAGGGTTGGAATTGTTTTAAAAATGCAGTATCAGAATGTGGGGCAGAAGTTTGTGGCTATAGGAGGGTGGGTGCAGGAGGAAAGAGGATTGATTGGTGGAATGATGAAGTAAAGGGTGTGATAAAAGAGAAAAAGGTAGCTTATGAAAGGTTTTTACAAAGCAGAAGTGTTATAAGAAGAGCAGAGTTTATGGAGAGTAAAAGAAAGGCGAAGAGAGTGGTGAGAGTGTGCAAAAGGAGAGCAGGTCATAGAGTGGGAGAGGCACTGTCAAGAAATTTTGCAGAAAATAAGAAAAAAAATTTGGAGTGAGGTAAACAAGTTAAGAAAGCCTAGGGAAAGAATGGATTTGTCAGGTAAAAACAGAGTAGGGGAGTTAGTTGATGGGGAGCTGGAGGTATTGGGTAGATGGTAGGAACATTTTGAGGAACCTTTAAATGTCGATGAAGGGCGGCGGTAATTTCATGCACTGGCCAGGGAGGTATAACGTCTTTTAGGAGTGAAGAAGTGCAGGATATGAGTGTGGGGGAGATGCATGAGGCATTATGTAGATTGGAAAAAGGTAAAGCAGCTGGAACTGACGGGATCATGACAGAAATGTTAAAAGCACAGGGGATATAGCGTTGGAGTGGTTGGTATTTTTGTTTAATAAATGTATGAAAAAGGAGAAGGTACCTAGGGACTGGCAGAGAGCATGTATAGTTCCTTTATATAAAGGGAAGGGAGACAAAAGAGATTGTAAAAATTATAGGGGAATAAGTTTACCGAGGGATGGGTGTTAATGTTGCAGTTTAAAAACTGTAGTGTAAAGCACCCTTCTGGCAAGACAGTGATGGAGTGAATGATGGTGAAAGTTTTTCTTTTTCGGGCCACCCTGCCTTGGTGGGAATCGGCCGGTGTGATAAAAAAAAAAAAAAAAAAAAAAAAGTTTACCGAGTTCTCCATGGGGAAGTGGAACAGAATTCTTCCTCCATAAGCCATGCGTGTTGTAAGAGGCGACTAAAATGCCAGGAGAAAGGGACTAGTAACCCCTTCTCCTGTTTATATTACTAAATTTAAAAGGCGAAACTTTCGTTTTTCCTTTTGGGCCACCCCACCTCAGTGGGAAAATGGCTGGTGCGTTGAAAGAAGAAGTTTACTGAGTATACCAGGAAAAGTGTACGGTAGGGTATTATTGAAAGAATTAGAGGTAAGACAGAGTAGGATTGCAGATTAAGCAAGGAGGCTTTAGAGTGGGTAGGGGATGTGTAGATCAAGTGTTTACATTGAAGCATGTATGTGGACAGTATTTAGATAAAGGTAGGGAAGTTTTTATTGCATTTATGGATTTAGAAAAAGCATATGATAGAGTGGATAGGGGAGCAACGTGGCAGATGTTGCAAGTATATGGAATAGGTAGTAAGTTACTAAATGCTGTAAAGAGTTTTTATGAGGATAGTGAGGCTCAGGTTAGGGTGTGTAGAAGAGAGGGAGATTACTTCCCAGTAAAAATAGGTCTTAGGGATGTGTAATGTCACCATCGTTGTTTAATATACAGTGGTACCTCGTGATACGAACTTTTTTCGTTCCAGAAGGCTGGTCGAGTGCTGATACCAAACGAATTTGTTCCCTTAAGAAATAATGTAAATTAGATTAATCCATTTCAGACCCCCAAAAATACACTTACAAAAGCACTTGCATAAATACACGTACATAACTGTTCGTTGTTTGAGCTGTTCGTATCCCAAGGTACCACTGTATTTATAGATAGGAGTTGACACATTTACATTTTGCTGATGATACTGTGCTT